CCATGTCTTTGAGAATGAGAATGACTGAAAATGACACTCAAACACAACACCACTGTCGGACCCGACCCCTGCAACACAGCAACAGACTACTCCATCCATTACCGAGTATTGCCATCTTCATCTCCTCTTTTCAGTCTCTCTCTCTGTCTCCTTCATGCTTTCCCCCCGCCCAGCCTGGACACTCTCCGAGTCCAACCTTGTCCTCCACCGGCCTAGATGCAGTGCAGCGCAGCATCCGTCCAGTGTGCATGTGTGTGTGCTGCCGCCTTTCATCGCCTACCGGACTGCAGCCTGGCCGTCAATCTGTGTGTGTTTGGCCTCTTCCAGCTCCGTCAAATCTCCTTGCTGCGGCCCAGCCCAGCTGATCCCTTACCGGTGCGCCCATCTCTCCTGTGCTGGTGTGCTGGTGCCAGCCTACAGCCTACCGCATACACTCACCTCTCTCCCAAGCCGTCCCGTCGTAAAGAGCTCCCGTTGAAACTGAGGCGCCCAGTATCTGTAAACGGAGAGGGGAACGAGGCGTTGCTCTTGGCTTGCTCCGTTTAAACCAAAAGGTCATCAGGCACCTTCTCGACCACCCACTTGTCTCTTGTGTCTGCGGACTGTTGCCGTTCTCTCTCTCTCTTTCACACACACACACACTCTCTCTCTCTCTCTCTCTCGCTCTATCTCTGCCCTATGGTCCCTTCACCCCCCCCCCACCCCTTTCACTTTACTATTAACACACCCGTATCCTCAACCCTCTACTCTCTCTCTCTCTTTCTATACCTTTGCCTCTCTGTCTCTGTGTCTAGGTCTGTTTCTTCCTCGCTCTCTTGCCCCTCCCCCCCTCCTTATTCCTTCCCATGCGCCCCCATCTCCATCCCTAGGCATCGTGGTATCCTACCTTACCTGAGATGGGTAATTCGTAGGCTTCCTCACTTCACCCACACCACATCACACCCCCCTTCCACACAGCCGCACGCCCTCCCCCTGCCTCCCCTCCCATCCCCTCCTCGTCTTCTGGCGTAAGGCACGGTACCTGTACGAATACCCTTCATCTGCTTGCACGTCTCTCTTGCTGCGATACCTTGTACTAGTGTAGGGTCGCCAGGCTATGTGGAACCTATCTACATAGTTACAACTCCACGCCCTGCGAGGCACCCCTGCTTGTACTTGGTGGTCCTTCGCACTCACGCCGCCAGCCCTGTCGTTGCTGCCAGCCATGTCATTGCTCCCGGCTTGCTGGGCGGTTCGGGCTGAGCTCCTGTGAAGCCTTTGGGCTACTTTTTATTTAATAGCTTGCTCTCCCCTTCCTCTGCCACATCTTGCCTCATCATCCAGACTTCCAACAATCTAGACTTGATATAAGTTGCGACTTGTCAACTATCACCAAGCTTCCTCTTCTACATCTTGAACCAACATCCCCCCCATAATCCTCTTACACCAAGAAGCGCGACAACACCACAGCCCGCTCACAATGTCAATGTTCACCATGTCCCAACATCACCAATACGCCTACCCGGCAACAGCCCCCGCTCCCAGAGCATACTCTGGACACGGAACCAGCAGCGCCTTCAGCAGCTCCGCCAACCCTGATGAAGACTGGACCAAGATCTCCGACCTCGCTGAGCGCAGGAGGATCCAGAACCGCATTGCCCAGCGCAACTACCGTACGTCAAAGTCATAGCCACCCAACGATACAAGCACGCAAATACTAACACCGACTTACAGGCAAGAAGCTCAAGAGACGCCTTGAGGACCTCGAGAGACGCGCTGGTCAGGAAGGCACATCCCCCACCGAGAAGCCCGCGGCAACCAAGAGCACCAAAAGCAAAGCGGCGGGCAAGACACAAAAGACGCCCCCACCAACAAAGACCATGAACCAGGGCCAATTCACTCCTCCTATGAACAACGACGACGAGGTCTTCTTCGCACAACAGCACTACGAGGATGACCGCGGGAGATCCATCACTCCTCCGTTCCTCACATACTCAACCTACCCCCCGGCTGAAGAGATGATCATGGCACCCGCATACACCACACAACCGTACCCCATGTCTGCCGCCGAGTATCCCACATATCTCGCCGCAACGGTACCGGTCACGCTACCGCCCATGAACCACTTCCAAGACGCCATCAAGCGCGAATCGTACCACAGCGACGACGGTCTTTCTCCCTACATGAACTACGCGTACATGCCCAGCATGGACATGAACGCGCAAAACTCCTACGACCCCACGAACCCTCATGTGAGTTATATGCGACAACCGCCTTCCCGCGATACATGATGCTGATGGGTTGATGAGCAGACTCCTCCGCTCTCACACTCGTTTGACCACTCGGCCAACTGTTCCGACGCCGGCTACGAGTATCCCACAACACCACTCTCCATGCCGGGATCTCCTGGCATGATCCAGCAATAGAGAGCGCAGCGCGAAGGAGGAGGAAAAACGAATATGCAACATCCCTGTCTATCGGAGCGTAGCATTTCTGGCGACCACAATTTGGGTTTCCATCACCACTTGGTTCTTTTTCATCCACGACCCCCCTTTTTTTCCTTTTGCACATGTTCAGCGTGGCTTTGGCCAGGAGTTCGGGGGCGTACGGATCGCATGTATTGGTCGAAGCGCTCGACCTCACGGAGATATGACTGGGAATAGGCGACGGCGTTTCACTTTGGGCAGACTGATCACATCGAGGGTCGTCTTGTTACGAGGTTTGATACGGCAGTCCAAAATTTAAAAGACGAGATTGTCCCAAACATTCTTTGTACTACTATAGAGAGCAACCTCAAAAAAGTAACACGATATCAATCACATGAGTGGAGCATCCGCCTTGACTGTTGAGAGGTGTTCGTGCTTGGAAAGGTGTCCGATGACGAGATGGGCGTTGGTATGGGGGCCGAAAGGGCGGCAGCAATAGGACGGGACAGCCTGGTAACGAGAAACAGCAAGTTCTAGCCCGCCGTGGACGACTAGACGTATCGTAGGATTATACGAAGGGTGCAGGGAAGGCGGAGTTAAACATCAGTCTCGCCGAGGCGGGTGCGGAGAAAATAGCTTAAAGTTTCTTAACTCCTAGTATTCGTGTGGACTCGGGACAAAGCTCGAGACTCGAGATACGAACTACAAGTCTTGGCCAAGGTCAAGGCAGCTGACAAAGCACTTTGAGGAGCAGACCTTTTGCGGTTGAGGATGAGGGTGGTGCTGGGTTATTCGTAGCATGCGTAGAGACTAAGACACGTCCATGGGGGAAGAGGTAGACAGGAACTTAGACACCATGCTTCAGGATTTTTACCGAACTGTGGGAGGAATTGTTTCCATGATACCTCACTTCTGAAGAAGACGGTGATTGTCGATAAATGGAAAGACCGGGATTCCAGCAATCCTAAGCAAAGCAGTACACTAGAGATGAACGATGTTGCGGTACCACCCACGAATGAGCCTCTGCCGCAAGCGAGTACTCGACAGGGATCAGAGACCAAGACAACTGGAGGGAGCGGAATGGGGGGAACGAGGGGCGGAAAGCATATACGCGAGAATACCTATCGTCCCTCCATTTTCTTCAACATAACGCGCAACATAACGCACAACAAGGCTCCGCAAAAGTACCTGAAACAAGATTACGAAGACATCAGGGAGATTCACGAGCAAACAACGTAGAAACCAGTGCAGCCTGATAGAATACCCACGTGATTTCACGGAATAAGAGGGAATCTGTGCTTTGGACAAATTCCCGACGGGCGGATGTTCGCCCGTAGCCCGGTCGGATCTTGTGAATCTTCGTCATATGCCTTTACGTGTCTTGGGGCCGGACGCCGTGGCGGTGGAACGGCTTTGGTAGTCGTGGCCTTCAGCCAAAAGTCCCAAAAGATAGCACTTTCTGAGGATTGTCTGTAGATAACTCATATAGGGTACATTGGGTCGGGATAGGAAGAAGGGGAGGGTGGAAGGGCGCTTTCAGAAGCATGCCTTACACGGCAAAGTCCGAACAGCCTGCCGCCGCGTTTTACTTGCCCCCTTCTATGAGGAGCATGAGAGGAGAGTTCTTACACATGACAAATGGAGCGGGAATACGGCGTGTCAAGAGCATGAAATGGGTGTCTGGACGGATATTACGAAGACGATACGGATAATTCGTACACGGCGGCAGGGCAGAGCCGGGCGTCGAGAAGGTCTCAATACATCATGTCAAAAGGGAACTTTGGCTGCTGTTGCAGGGCATTGGCAAGGTGTGGCATGGCATGGGATCAACGCCTTCATGGGTCGATGATGGTTGGGCGGACGGTCCGGGGATGGCATTCGGATGGCCCAAGGGAAGTACGGGATTTGAACCGCTTCGCTTGTCACCCTTCCCTACTGCTGCGAGCTGCGTTTATTTCTCGATTAGGGAAGCATGGCCATTGTCGTACAAAGAGAGAGAGGCCGACCCGCCCCAGGGTTATCACTCGGGCTCTGGGCCAAGGTGACACAGGGAGGATTCGAGTCGGCTGTCAGGTTGCGTACTGCTCTTGTCACCCCCCCCCCCCCTCCCGCAAGCGCAGAAAAAGGACCAAGCATTAGGAGAAGAGGGGAGGGGAGAGAAGCAAGACTGACTGATAGCGCGTGCAAGAGTTGCCGGCGACCGCATGATGTGTCACCAACGACTTTCATCCTTACCGGTTTGCCAAGGGGGGACGGCCGCGAGTTCGGTTTGGTGACACAGCATTCGAACGTAGACGCAGAAGGGGAACTGACTTGCACGTATTGGAGGCGCTTTGCCGCGAAACCCTGGAACGTCGGTCGAAGAGGAGGAGTAGGGGGTGTGGGGTGTAATCGGGGGAGCCCAAACGGTCGGTCGGTTCAGTCAGTCTGGGGTAAAGGTTGTTGATGAGGCCATGCTCCCCTTGGCACTGATTGACTACAAGAGATTGGGGAACTTATGGGAGGCGTTTCTAAACTTTACCACGGCCAGTCTCCAAAAGCTTAGCAACTTTTGGGCTAGTTTCTACCACCAGTCTTGTATCCGAACGCCTACGGATGTTGTTCAACTGGGGGAAGTCGCCGGAAAGTCGCCGAGGGCGGCAGAACGCCATCTTTTTGGAGGGAGGAGGAAGACAGCCGAGTGGGAGGGGAGTGCGGGATAAGGAGACAGAGAGGCTCGAGGGTGGCCGTGAAAGAGACGGGAGAGAGAGATCCCGGGGGGCGTGTGCCGTGTGCGAGCTTGTCTTCCGGAGTTAAGCCCCGACTGCTTTCTGCCAACCCGTGCCATCACTGCCGTGTCAAGTCGTGCGAGAGTAGAGCCTCCTCTTCTTAGTAAGGATTCCATCCGAAGTGCGAGCATCTCAGGATAGGGAAGTTAATCTGTGGGCCGAGATGGGGCGGGGACAATTCACTTTCACCGGACAACAATCCATGGTACTCGCGTTAGTCTGGAAGTCGCGAGATATTCTTCTGAGTTGTACAACCCATCAGCATGATAGGAGTTGTTCTGTAATAATGCCATGTACCTAAGGTACGCAGTGCCGGCAAATGTGCATAATAATGCCGCTAGAGGTCTCACTTTCGCGTGTCCTTTAAATAGAGTCGCGGCCTTTGGAGGAACAAAACACTTTCCCACCACCTCATCTTATGTCTCTGCCCTATCTCTCTCTCTCTCTCTCTCTCTCTCTCTTCGAACCAAAAACAGGTAGCGCTATTACTAGTAACTGTGAACCGTGACGCTGCGCACGGCCTAGGCTGGTACGACAGGTTGCATATGTCGGCGAGATTTTGAAAGGTGCCGAAGTTACGGAGTAGACTCTTGCAATTCGTCGCTATGATGATGGCTGCCGAAATATCCATAACTCAGATTGAACGTTTTCCGGTACTTACCTTTAGGCTCCAGTGGTCCCAAAGGATCATCCGACAAATGGAAGAACGGTGGGATGTGCAGGCTTTCCTTCTGTACTCCGTAGGTGGAAACAGAATCGGGACCGGGGCCGGAATAAGATCGGACGGAGTTAGGGGCCGTTCAACAACAGAAGGCATTACCCCAAAGTTTCTTCCATCGATACAATGCTCAACCATATTCAACCACGTCTGCGCAGCCAAGTCCCAAGTCTTGGATCAAGGTTCCTTGAAAAGAGTAGACAAATACTTGGAGTGTGTTTGTTGTATACTTGATGAACTGTTGACTAGTGGATAAATCATGCGACTGAATAGGCACGTTCTAGACCTCCAGCCTACTCCAATATTCAACCCGATTTTGTCCCTTTACTTCGTCTCAAAACTCATCGGGGAGATCTGGAACCGTCGTCATCCCGTCTCAGTCGGCTTCAGCCATGAACCATATTAGGCCGTCAAAAGGCCTTGCCCGCCTCCCCGTCTTACTAAGTCACGAGTCTTCAGAACCGCCATCTTCCTGGTTACACACTCGGGGCCGATCCGGCAGAAGACGGAGGCACAAGACCGGCCCCCGTCAGCTCGAACGCCCGTCCCCATAATCCCGTCACTGCGCTAAAACAACATCCGTCCACGGTCATTTCATGCCTTCTCCAAGGGCGCAATCAAGACAAGCTCTTGGGATCTGCTTACAACAATAGGGGTGGTCGGGGAGCTGCAGAATACAGAGAAGAAAATGGTTAGTGATTAGTGATGAACATACACCTCACCACTCAGGTGCAACTCTCCCCACAAACATCAATGTCAAGATCCATCAGCAACAAGGAATACCCCTTACGTTGCCTTACCTGGTCGTGTCTACCAAGTCGAATGTGAGCCGGATCATCCCAAACAGACATCGTAACGCCCCGCACCGAGGCGATGAATCGTGAAAATTAAGACGATGAGAAAGTGGTGTCGCTCATCCGAATCCGTCGAGGCGAGCATTAAGTTAAGCCTCAGCTATTTTCGAGTTTAGCCCACGCTAGGCTCTCAAAGACATATGAGCTTGAGCCCGGCGTGCCGTCTTGAGGCTAAAGCTGCCTTTGGAACATTGACACAACACACGCAGACAAACTAAGGGCCTTGTGGCTCAACCTAAGATTGATCTCATTCGTCGTTGCATTTTACACTTGAGTTTCGCGCTCGCCTTCGCGACCTCGCCCAGCTCGCCCCTCGGTGTCGCTCGCGCTGAGCCGCACCATTTCAACTTCAGCAAACCACCGTCTATGTAGTGAAGTTTCAGTTGCATTCTAAAGTTAACCTTCTCGCGTGACATAGCGTGTAAAACCGTTCTTAGCCGTGAAGCAAAACTCGTTCAATCATCTCCAACGGGTGAGCAATCCTGTCAATTGGCTGGCTCGAAGATTGACACCATTTGCCCTAGCGTTTCTCGGCCTTCCTTCTCGGCTCCTTGGCGGAACAGGCCGTGATGATCTCCACAGTCTGAGTCTTGATTCAAACGTTCTGACAAACCGCCTTTTTCCAAATGCATAGGCTCAGCTTCGTAGTGCTTCGGGGTAATTTGAGACAATGACACAGCGATCGAGATGCCACTCCCACCTCCAAGGACGACTATGTACGTCCTTTTGCCAATTATGGAGCCGAACCCATATGGATTCAATCGACCCTAGGCAGCAATTAGAAGTAAATAGGGAGGCACTGGTGCTTTATTTGAACTAAGGTATGCGCTGTGATGTGAAGGAGGGAGGATGAACATCACAGCCGTTGTACAGCCACAATTCAGGACGTCTGTGGGAGCTTAGGTAACTAGATTGCTGAGCCACAATAGCTACCGGGACCCATTCTGGTGGGGCCATGCTGCACGCCTCTGCCCACCCATCCTATTGGCCAGGATTTATGTGGGAGCTCACCAGCCTCGCGAACGCTCAGATGAGGTCGTCATGATCCTTCGCGCTCTTCAACGACTATTGTCCACCGTCGACCGGTCACGACACAGCCCTATTTTGGGGCCAATTCCGTCTCTAACGCCAATAGTTGAACTTCGTCACTGGTTTTTGGCCCGTTTTCTGCCAATTGACCAGCTCGAATCTTCGTGCCATCAGTTCTGTTCCGAACCCGCGCCTCAGTGCAACTGCCGATATAGCCACAGCTTTGCCAACCCGCCAAAGCGCACATCATGCCTCCCGATTGGAAATTGCTCTACCTTTACGGTGGCGACAAGTCAGTGTGTCCAAGTTTGCTTCACAAGCGTTGCTCGTGGTCATGCCTGACCATCCGGCCTCGTTTTCTGATTCCCGTGTGAAATTGCATTGTTGACCATCAGGTGCAGCCCCTGGGACTCAAGTCTGTGGACCGATTCAGATGACAGAGTACGTGGCGGTAAGAGCCAGTCCCATTTGCACTGCGAGTCACCGGAGAAGGCTGAGTTCTTCGGCAACTTGGACATCACCGCTCTGGGAGGAGCAGGATTTGCGTCGCAGAGGACACTCGGCACACTTGACCTAGACTTGAGTCAGTACGACGGGCTTGCTATCAGAGTCTTGAAGAGCGATTCCAAGAAGTACACAGTCACTATCAAGGATGAAATCCTTCCCCCGAGAGAGGATGGCCGCGACCAGAGCACCATCAGCTGGGAGTATGACTTTGTTCCCGAGGAGGGCGAAGTGAAGATCCCGTGGGAGCAGTTCAAGGCAACCTACAGAGGCAGGGACAAGCCTGATGCCAAGCCACTGGACATTGCCAACATTAAGAGAATCAGCTTCATGATGCGAAGGTAGGACGCAAGCCTGTTTGCGAAACAATCCCTCGGCTGTTATTAACACCATCGCAGCTTCTTTGGCACCCAGTCAGGTGATTTCAGCTTCACCGTTGGCTACCTGGCGGCTTTCAGCAACCGTCGCGAGTCATCGGGCTCCGATGTCTCGTTCCAAAAGGAATATGTCGCTGCACCTGCACCGGCTAAGTCATCATCATGGTTGAGTTGGCTTTGCGGATGGGGAGATAAACGAGTTTAAGATGCTAAGGCGACTGCAAAGCTGTATGGCAAGGCGGGTAGGAAATCACTATTGTTATTTGACATCCCAAGATATTCCATGGCGTCAGGGTAGGCAAGTGAATTTCATTCCATAAGGCTACATAGAGCTTTAAGCAATCTGGCCCAATACCTTGATCAAGTCAGCAGTAACACCCATGGCCGTGACATCGCCACCGGCACCTGCACCCTGGACGATGAGAGGGTTGCTGCCGTAACGTTCCGTGTAGAAGCTGATGATGTTGTCGCTACCCTTGAGGGCGGCGATGGGGTGAGATGCGTCGAACTGCTCTAGGCCAACCTTGACCTGCTTGCTGGCAACATCGATGCTGCCAACAAAGCGAACGACCTTGCCCTGCTTTTCCGCAGCAGCCTTGGTCTCCTCCATTTGACTGTCAAACTCTGGCAGTTTCTGAAGGAACTCGTCTCCACTCGAGCACGACTCGAGCTCCTTAGGAATCAAGCTCTGGACGGGGAACGAGGTGGGCGATTCGACGGGGAGTCCTGCCAGTCTGGCGAGAATGGTGAGCTTGCGGGCGACGTCGAGGCCGTTGAGGTCGTCTCTCGGGTCGGGCTCCGTGTAGCCCAGCTCCTTGGCCTTGGCCACCTCGGCAGACCACTTGCCGCCGGCGCCCGATGTCGGAGCGAAAGAGTTGAAGAGAAAAGACATGGTGCCGCTGAAGACACCCTCAATCTTGGTGACGCGGTCACCCGTGTCGACGAGGTCCTTGAGGGTCGAGATGACGGGCAGACCCGCGCCGACGGAAGATTCGTGGTAGACCTTGGCGCCGGAGGTCGAGGCCGCGTTGAAGATATCCTGCCACAGCTTATAAGAGCCAGAGAAGGCCTTCTTGTTCGGGGTCACGATGCTGATTCCCTTGCCGAGGAAGACGGGGTATGCGTCGGCGACATCCTGGGAGCTGGTGTTGTCGACTAAGACAACCTTGGCCGGGGCGGCGGCAAGGTAGTCGGCGAGCTGAGGGAGAGGGGGAGGGGCTTGCGAAGCGCGAGACAGTTCCTCGATGGCGCCGGCAAAAGGGGTAGGGGTGTACTTCGCATCGTACAGGGCCTTCTTGCTAGTCGAGATGTAGATCAAGTTGAGCTTCGGGGAGGGTCTGCGAGTGGCCAAGGCCTCGAGCTGGGACAGGAAGCACTTTCCGACACCACCAGCACCTGTAACACCCCGGTTGGTCAACCCAAGTTTGCTAACACGTGCAGTAGGAGGAAGAAAAGCCTTGAGGTTGTTTTGAGAGGTGAGCAATTCTTACCGATGATGGCGATGAAAACTTGCTTGGAGGAGGCCATTGTTACTTGCTTGATTGAC